AAATACTTTTGAAGGAAAAGTCCAGTTCTTGGACAGTCCGTGTTTCTCTGGAGCTGTGGACGAGCTCGTGGTTTATGTCTCGATTGGAATCTGAATACAAATGCTTATATGCAGGCTCTTTTGTGAAATTTTTTTCTCCTTTTTCTGTCAAATTTACCTATGATCTTATGAATGCAACATTTTCAGGAACAAGCACGGAAAGAAAGAGAAGAGCTAGATAAAATGCTGGAAGAGAATAGACGAAGGGTAGAGGAAGCTCAACGAAGAGAAGCTCTGGAGCTGCAGCGGAAGGAAGAAGAACGATATCGTGAGCTCGAGTTGATTCAGAGACAAAAAGAGGAGGCAGCTCGGAGGAAAAAGCTGGAATAGGGACAAGACTGGGGTTTATTGTGGATGAAATATGGAGCCTCCACGTTTTCCTGACCCATGGAATGGTGAACCTCAAAGCCGATGATGTTGTTTGGGGTATTGGCATATCATTATGTGGGTCAAGGAAATTGGTTTTCCTTGGCGCCCTTTCAGTTTTGTCTGTTTTGTGGTTGTCCTATGACATGAACATCAATTTTGGGTAGTTCATTTCTCATCGAAGTTTCTCGTTCTGTGAGAATTAAAGTATTTATTGAAATCTATTTTATGAAAGATTCTGGCTTTCGTGTTTTGGGGGTCTTCGAGATCCTTTCGATGAGCGTATGTTTCAATTTCTAAAATTTTGATACTTATCTTGCTGACTTTGTGCTAACATGCGAATGTTTCTTACCTTATCTAGTTAGTATAGGCATGTTTAGGACTTTATAAAGACATTTTTCTGATAAGTATGCAAGTATTTTTGGTCGGAGCGTCAAAAGCAACCTAGATCCCAAAAGAAACGGCGGCGGAACGTTCAGCGTGGGAGCCAACCCACGATTGACGTGCGATCCAACCCAAGTCGACCTAACCCACTCAGCCCACGTTCCCTGCAAAAGCCCAATACGTACGGCCCAAAAATCTGCAACCCGCAACCCAGCCTCACGACCCGCGTGCCCGAGTCAGCAACCTGAAGTCCGCACCTCGACCCGAGAAATAACCCGCGCACGTGTCTTCTCCCTAAAGTGACGCGTTGCACATGCAGTCGCCGTCTCCTTCGGCTCAGGCGGCGTCATCGGCTCGGCTCGGCTCGGCTTCTGCGGCTCGGTATACATATAATATATCATTTCCTTCGTATCCTCCTAAAACCCTCTTTTACCTTATTTAAGGCAAATAAGGTCAGTATAAGGTTCGTTCCTCAATTTAAATTGAATTAAATTAGGAGAATGAAATTTGCTAAGGAAATTAAGTGAACTTCTGATAGGGTCGACAATACTTGGAACAACCTCATAGGATAAACTCAAGCAATTAAATTAGGGAGAACGCCAACTAAGGCTAACTAAGTAACTGGTCTTACTATCGGCTCGGTCGGAAGACTTGTCATATGTATGACGACATGTGCCTAGTGGTGCTGGCATGTGTCATTTATGCTTTGTATGTTGCAACGTGTTTGAGCTTAGTTATAATAATGACGACAATAATGTATGATGTTATGATAATGTTAATTGATGATGAAATAAGGATGATGATGTATGATGTTATGATGACATTATTTGAATGATGATGTAATGACGATGATATGATGATGATGATGTTTGATGGTATGATAATGTTAACTGATGATGATATAATGAAGATGATATAAGAATGATGATGTATGATGTTATGATGATGTTATATGATTATGTGTGATATTATGATAATGTTGTTTGATGATGATACGATGATAATGATATAATGACAATGATGTATGATGTTATGATGACATTAATTGATGATGATGTTATGATGACATTATTTGATGATGATGTAATGAGGATGACGTAACGATGATGATGTATGATGTTAATTGATGATAACATGACGACGATTTCATAATAAAGATGATGTATGATGTCATGGTGACGATATAATAATGATGATGTATGTTAATATGATGACGAAAAACTATATGATGATGAGATGAATTAGTACGACGTTATTCCATATCAAGATGATGTGCATGTATTGAATGTCATTATACATTATGACAATGATTTACTTTCTAAGGAGACAGTTAATGATGATGAGCCTATGAAGACCAACACCCTACATATTGCTTAATGTAACATATGCACCGAGTATAGGGTTGTGTCATGAAGATGATTGGAAGAGGAAAACTATAGAGACCTCATGCATTTTGTGTGTACATATATCGGGAGACTTCCCCATTTATGACGGCAAGTACGGACGCATACGCTATGATGATGATGATGATGATCATGTCTCGCATGACACCTAAGGGTCTATTGACCACCAGACGTTGCTACGGACAGCTAGCTCGACTATGATGGGTCGATGGGGTGTGAACCACCTGGAGATTCACACTCGCATGTGTGGATCGTGGGTAGGGAAGTACTACACATCCAATTTTTGTCCAGACTGGAGGCCACCGCTACGGTGACTTTTAAATGATAGGTCCCTACATCATGAGTTACATGTGTTTGCATTCCCTGGCCCCAATAATGGGGCCACTTACTGAGTATTTTCTAAAATACTCAAGCTATGTGCTACTTCTTTTTCAGGTAAAGGCAAGGCATCTCTGTACAGCTGACGACGACATCATAATTCGAGACTATGACACATGCATAGGTACTGTTTTCTTAGACTTAGGTTAGAATAGGGTCTTTTTAATTTTAACGTTATTTATTTTATTCAGTTATTTTGTTGTGTTGTTTAAAATGTTTTCGAACACGTAAGTCCATGTCAATGTTTTAAAATGAAGTTTATGTTTTATGATAAAGTTTTAAACGTTTAATTCCGCATATGAACATAGATGATGACAACGGTAATGATTCTAGGTAAGTAGAAGTTTAGGGTCATTACAGTTGGTATCAGAGCTCTATATTGTAGATTTAGTAGACTAGCCTACGATGTAGGCTTGGCATGTTCCATGGTTCCACCATCAATGCCCCTGTCATCGTCTAGTATGTTCTGCATAAGATCAGAAAAAGGAAGTTTTAACCATTGTTTATACTATGATCACTTACCATGATTAAATGTAATTTAAAATGAAACTTTATAATCCTGTTTATACGATTGAGTGTAATTCAATGATTGACTTAATTGTTGCTTATTGATAAATTATGTTACCAAATTATATGCTTGTGATGTGAACGGTATAAAAGTAGTAAAGTTTAGAAAGATTACGTATTGGTTTAGAACTATAAAAGGGAAACGGATATCGAGGAAGGAGACGACCCATTATAAAAGAAGTGATATTCTCACCACCTTGCTTACTCGATTTTAAGTTCAAAGGCACATGAGTTAAAGAGTACCTCGAAGGTAATCTCAAATATGAAAACGAAGAGACTGATCCATCAAGGGAGTCGGGCCATATTAGTAAGTGTTGTGAATGTAGAGGAAAAGAAGAGATCTTAGGCACGATATGTATGGCAAGCGAACCTTTAAAAGCCTTTTCGAAAGACCTACCAAGAATATCTCATTCTTGAACAGGGAATTGGACCCATTTCCAAAACCCTTGTCGCGGGCTCTAGTAGAATTAAAGGAACTCAAGGCTCAACTACTAAACTTACGGGGCAAAGGCTTTATCCGTCCTACCATATTTCCTTGGGATGTGTCAACGTTTAGTGTCAAGAAGAAAGATGACTCAATATAATGGCGCATTGATTCAGAGACCGAAAACAAGAACCCCTCTAGCATACATACAATGACGCATGAGATCCCAACATTTTTCCTTTTTTATTATTATGTATGACAACCCCTTTAGTATTTTTCTTCATATCATATCATTATCATAACTTTTCATGTAATCTCAGGATTGTGTATCATGCCAAAATATTTTATTGCATGTCATGGATATCATACATCTTATCATGTCACATGTATCATATCATAAGCATATCATGTCTCCAACATATTATGTCATACCGTACACGTATCATATCATAAAACATATCACAATATGCGTCGTATTGTCAAACGTATCGTACCATAATGTATACGATATCATTCACATAACATTTCATAGTTATATCATTTCGTCAAATGCATCGTACCATAATATATATCATATCATTCACATACATACATACATATATCATTCACGTATCATATCTCAAACATATCGTCAAACGCATAGTACCGTAACATATATCATATCATAACATATATATATATATATCATTCATGTATCGTATCTTAAACATATCGTCAAATGCATTGTACCATAACATATCTCGTATCATTCAGATATCATATCTCAAACATGTCATCAAATGTATCACATCATTTCATAAACATTTCACACATATCAAGCATATGAGAACCACGAGGCACATGTCATCATACAACATCAATTTCTGACTATGCCGATAGTAAGGTCACTTACTTGGTTGGTCTTAACCGAAGTTTTTTTAATCTAATTTTAAACCGGCTTGTTAGAGTGTTGTGGTGCGATGGAGGTGGAGGCGGAAATGGAAGACGCCATAGTTTGGGTTTTTGACTCTCATTTTTTATGAATTTGTAGTCTTCCATTGCTTCGACCATGTTTGGATGGAAATTCCAATTTCCACCTTTAATTTCTTCCAGCTTTTTACTATAAATGAAAATGTGGAGAGATTTTGGGTGAGAGATAGAAATTTGGGGAAGGGAAATTTTCATTTTCATTTATTTTTCCTTTTTTAGTTCTTAATTACACCATAAATCCTTTAGGCTTTCTTTTAGACCCCTTAAGCCTCCTTTCTTTCAGGTATTCTATCAACCCTTAGATTCAAATATTTAAAATTGAGTTTGGCAAATTTTTCAACAAAACATATGTTCCAAACGTTCCTTTCTCCGACCCTTTTTTGTCATTTGTTCGAACCCTAAACCCTAAACTCTCACAACTTAAGCCATCAACATGGTTGGAGCTCGGATAACAATTTGGTGCACGAAACTTACCAGTAATTACAAATCTGTAAAACTGATCTTTTGGGGTCAAATGTTGTATACAAATATGATATCCAAACTAAAAATCATCTATACTCCCAAATTTCAATGTTTTAAAGATAAAATCTGTAAGAAGCTTATCCAGCTTCCAAGTAACTACCAAGCATAGTAATGCTACAAACTGTAATAGAAGATAAACCCTCAACTTATAGGACCAACTTGGTTAACCATATAACCCTCATTGCCATACTTAAGGAGGGCCTCCCAAACATATATTTTGTAACATACTTTCAATTTCTTTCACCACTTCACTCATCGTGGGGCGATTTATAGTTGATTCTTCCACACATTTTATGGCCAACTCCAAGAACCTTCCAAACTCCCTTACATTTGGGATCTCATTTCTAATGGTTGCGTCTATTATATTCATCAATCCGTAATACACTTTGTCACTCTTGTTTGTTAGTCGAATCACTTCACCGACTAAACATATCCCTTTCTCAATTGCCGGTTTAGCGGTGATCAATTCAAGCATAACAACTCCAAAGCTATACACGTCACTCTTCTCAGTTAACTGCTGGGTTGCGTAGTATTCCGGATCTAAATAACCCTGCAAATGAATGTTCTTTGAGAAACGATATGTAAATATCGAACAGCTAAGGTATTCCATATAGATTGCTACGATTTACTTATTTCCATAGATTTGCAAAATAGATTTTGTTAGAACATGCTTAATTGAAATGCAGAAAAAATGCATTGGGTGGTGAGAAGCACTTACCCATGTGCCTTTAACTCCGGTAGATAATTGTGCCTTTCCATGGTCAAATGCAGGCTTAGACAGGCCAAAATCTGCAACCTTCGCATTTAAATATTCATCCAAGAGAATATTGGAAGACTTGATATCTCTATGGATTGCAGGAGGATTTGCAAACTCGTGAAGGTAAGCTATTCCTCTTGCAGAGTCGAGTGCTATCATGAGTCTTCTTTTCCAATCAAGATGAATATAAGAAGTCCCTGAATAAAAGACATGCCTATTAATTACCATTTGATTTCAAATAAAAAATATGGATGAATTCCTGGATTTGAATTACATTATGATCTAAAAACACAGTAGCCATTTTTCTTAATCAACCCCAAAACTCTAGTGTTAGGATCGCACAACAACGCACACACTTGATCTAGATGAACACAAAGAAATAGGAGAGAGAAAATAGAAGGAGAAATATTGGCTAAAGGTTTTATTGACGACTTCACACCAAGAGAGAATACAGAGAATTAAGAAAGTACATTTTAAAGCACTACCTAAAGGGTTCTATATATGGTTCAATTTACTTTTTATATAGCTTTACCAGATAAAACCATCTACTATATATAACTATTTACCTTGTATATTTTTATGACAATTTAGTTTATATGACATTTACCGTATATAACTTTACTATGTATAAACGTTGACTAACCAATAAATAAGCAGTAAGCTCCATAATCTAACATCTAGTACTACTAGTGAGAAACTACAGGGGTCTCAAAACCTAAACCAAACTATACTACCTTAGTAGCTTAGTAGTTTATGAACATCAGTCTTCCCTTACAGATTGAAGGATCCCCACCCCACAATTGCAAAACTCCAAATAATAAAAACTCTTTAATCTAAGAATTACAAAGAAATTTAAACCAATAAACTTACCAAGGATGTCTTGAAGTGATCCATTAGGCATGAATTCATAAACAAGCATCTGTTCTCCCTGTTCACAACAAAATCCTACAAGGGCTACTAGATTCTTGTGATGAACTCGTGAAAGTAATTCAATCTCAGTCTTGAACTCAAATGCACCCTGCTTTGATCCTTGCCTAGCTCTTTTGATTGCGAACATTTGTCCATACCCAGTCATTCCTCTATAAACCTAGAGAAAATAGCTTTTAATGCAACTCTAACAATTAAAACTTCAAAAACAAGGAAAAACTTAGACGTTACCTTTCCATACCCTCCAACTCCTATCTCATTACTTATGGAGAAATTATTTGTCATCTTTCTAAGCTCATCATAAGAAAAATATATTGCTCCCTTCAATTGTGGTGCGTCTCCACTTGCTTGTTCAGTCGATGACCAAGAACCTAGAGTAAATTTGAGACAATTGATAAAATAGAAACATTTAGATAGATGTCTAGAAAGAAAATCAACTTGAGGATGAATAGAGGCTTACTAAATGGCCTGCTCAATGAAATCGCCTTTGATACTCGTTTCTTCTGCTTAATTGCATATATTCCAAGTCCAATGAGGCTTAGGACCAGTAAGGAACAACCAATTGCAATCCCAATAAGCCACCTATTGCTACCAAGATTTCTCTCATCTGGAGCTGCAGGATATCATGTTTTTAACATTAGTTCATGATGGCCGATGCTAACTCATAGGAATTGAGTACTGACATTCTTATTTTCAATGGGTATATAACTTGCCAGAAAATGGGTACTGAGGTGGAATGAAATAAAATGATCCAAACTCTGCCGGAAGAAGGAAAGTTTGATGACTCAATGCAGACGCAATCCTCAAAATTTCTGAGTAATTGAAAACCTTTCCAAAGGGTGGATAAAGTTCAAGTTGTATCTGAAGGTAATCATCACTATCGAACTCGGCGTTTTGAATAACAATGGAACCAATAGGAAGATGTAGTTTCTCCGAGAGTTTGTCTTTCAGTAACAGAAACAAGGTATCATTTGACAATTCCCTGATCGAGGGTCCTCTGAAGTGCAAAGACCCTACATAGGGACACTGACACTCACAGCTTTGAGGGTTATTCTTCTCGCCAGTGGAGCACGGTCTAGTTTCACAGTTGACATGACTGGGAAAATTCGGCTTTGGAGCCAGTTGTGAATTTTGACAAGCATTTTCTTCTAAGATATGAACAACATTACACGCAGGATTTCCTCCAAGCCTACAAAATCATGACAATAAACTAATAAATATGAATGATATCATGAAATCTAAGGTTGGAAAATGTTGTGAAAGCCCCTCGCACATCAAAGTTTTGTTGTATCCAGATATCGCAAGTTCGGTAATGCGATTATTTTCCAAATCAACAAGCTCCAGATGCTCATTGATGTTGCCAACCATATTCAATGTCCCATCAAATAAATTGTACTTCAGTTTTCTGTAACAATCTGAATATATTAGTTCCACATTTTTTTTATATGACTTGGAGATAATAACACACTAACTATCAGATATTCTTACATTTGTTGTATTTGTGGCAAGCTGAAAATGGTTTCTGGGACTGATCCTTTCAGTTGTCCAAATTCAACGATCCTGGAAACATGGTTTGTATCGACATTTCTCATTTTGTTTCTCAAATTTATCATTTATAGTATTCATTGGAAAATGTGGTATAGTGTTTAGTAGTGAACTATATCAGGGACCTACAAAGTGGTGAGAGATGGTAAGCTTGAGAACCAATCCGGGGCTGCTGATGTATCAAATGAGTTGTTACTCAGGTCCCTGTAAAAATCAAGTAATAACGAGAATTTGACCGATTAAATTAATGAACTAGAACAGGAATGTTTCAGTTAAGATGAAAGTTTCTCGTCCATATACTTACACAACACATAGTGAAGTCATTTGAGTTAAATTTGGCAACGGACCTGTTAGTTTATTGTGTGCTAAATTCCTAAAAGAGAATCCAACAACATAGGTAGAAAGAGAAATTTGATTACTTATCCATGAAAAAAAAAAACACTTTCATAATCTTCGCAAAGAGAAATACCCACAAGTGCATGATCTGTCTTAATTTGGTGAGATTTGATGGGACCATTCCTGTTAGAGAGTTCCGATCAAGTCGGCTGCAACATATTCGAACCATCATGGAGAGGATATTGCATGAGAAAGAGTCAAGTGGTATGTGTTGTACTAGACTTACAGAACTTCAAGGGCGTTAACAAGTCCCAAGGTTTGTGGAATACTCCCAGAAAACTGATTTTGATCAAACACTCTATAATGAAAACATTGGTAAAGTTTTAGGATAAGAAAAACAAGAGAATAGAAAGTGAATCATCGATGGTTACTTACATGTGTATTAACTTCATATCAGCGCTAAAAAGCTTAGGTGGTATAGAGCCTGATAGCTTGTTCTTACTCAAGTGACTAAAATTAAAAAATTCAAAGGCCTTTAATACTAAAAAGGAATTGGATCAGAAACTTGTAAATAAGAGATAGAAAAGGATGCTCACAAGTGTTGTGCTTGGTGAAGAAGATCCAGACCTGGGGAATCAGAAGTTGATACAGGGAGAGGTCCATTCAACTTATTCTCCATCAAATCTAGCAAAACAAGTTTGGAGAGTTTTCCAAGTGTAGGCGGTATAGGGCCAATGAGTTTGTTCGAATTCAAAGCCCTAAATGAGAGTTCGAATTTAAGTCGATCTAAAATATACATGAACTCTACTCGTTAGGTCAGATTAACAGCAAAATCTTACAAGGACATCAACTGAGTAAGGTTGCCCAAATGTTCGGGAATATTCCCACTGAAGCCACATGCTGCTAGGATTCTGAACAATTAAATTTCAACTTCAGCGACATGATTGAAGAACAGAGATATCTAATGTTCCATTGGATCAAAGATCGAAAACTTACAAGGACCGCAAATTTCGCAAATCCCCCAACCGAGGAGAGAGCGGACCAGTGAGATTTTCGTTAAATGACAGGTCCCTGTAATCAAACGAATCATTAAAATCGAATTCATTTGGTAAAACGAAAGAGCTGATATATAGATGTAACTCACAATGTTGTTAGTTCAGTAAGGTCTCCAATGGCGCCGCTAAGATGACCTTCAAGGCCCATAGACGGCAATTTTCTAGAAGAAGTTACGACCAAGAATTCAATGGTATTCAACAGATTGAACGACATTAGAAACAAAATCGAGGAATACAAACTCACAGTTCAGTGACTCTAGAACCATCGCAAGTAACTCCTTCCCAGAGATCTCCACATGGATCAACTGATGTCTTCCATGTTGGTGGTGTGTTCTTCCATTCCTCTTTCAACGATAGCAGGACTTGAACTGCACATCAAAATTTTCTCAAACCTCATTCAACATCCTAAACAGTGTTCCTCCCAAATCACAATCATTTATTCAAAACGTGAAATCACAAACCGTAAACAATGGTAGTATTCCAAGAAGCATGAATTTATTGTTCCATGATAAATGTTATCAAATTTTTTTATAAATAAATTATTTTCAATTAATTTTAGATAATCTAATTATTAAAATAATTTTTATTGGAATCTTGATTTTTAGTTTATTTTGTAATAAATTTAAATAATTATTCATTTAATAAAATTATAAATATTTCGTCTAACTTATATTCAAAATCAAATAACAAGATATAAATTTTATGTCATTATAATATTTTATTAATAAAATAATAATATACCTTAAATTTCTTAATATAAGTATATAAATAATTTATAATTAATCACAAATAAATGATTTGTAAGTAAGGTTTTTTTTTGTTTAATCCTTATATTACTATCAATTTGACCCATTTAATAATTATTATAAATGATTATATTGATTAATATATATATATATATATATATATATTAAACAAAACATATTAGTATATTTTATGGGATTTGAATAGTTAAAATAGTAAATACGAATATATTAGTTTACATTTAATTTTTAATTTTTTTATATTTTTTTTAAGAAATTTTATAAGAACTTAGTTTTTTTTAATAATTATATTAATAATTTGGACAACAAATTACTTTATTTTAAGACGAGGTGCTTTTTTATTTAAGACGTTTCAAAAAAAAAAATTAAATTAATGAAATATTTAAATGAAATTTAAGGGTAAAATTGAAACTTTAAATATACATTAAATTATATTATGAAAATAAACAAATTAACAGAAAAATAGATTTCAAATAAATAAATAAATAAATAACTCTCCCAAACAATTTCTTAATCTTAATTGTTTTTAATAATTTAATCAGTTTTCAATTATATTAATAATTAAAATATATAAGAGTGCTATTGTCAATCCAATAAAAACATATTATTTTCAAATAATTGTTATAATTTTATTTGAATGAAAAGAAAAGGGAAAAAGAAAAGGAATTACCATCGTTTGGGTCTGTGTCGGAGAAGGTGTTATGAAGTCCAAGAAGGAAGAAGAAAGCCAGAAACGGCAGCGTTTTCGCAGATATCGTCGCCTCCTCCATCTCTCAAGGCTAAGCTTAGATAATGGAAGGACTTGGGAGGGAGTTTGATTATAAGAAGATAAGGATAGAGCCCGAGGAAGTGTCCCTTTCTGGACTTCTTCTTCTTCTCTTAAATCCAAGCCCCACAATAAACCAATTCTATCAATTCTTTCACTGTTTCTTAGTGGAAAAATCAGTCTTAGATTGTTTTTTAGTGAAAAAATCAAACGACCCGTTACTTATACGACGTGGTTTGAGTATTTAAAATAATCAGTAAGTGTCTTTATTGTTGAAGTCGAGAAATGCAAACACAAGCAACATGGTTAAACTTATCTTTTTATAGAAACATCATGGCATGGCTTTTGGCTCTACCTTCTAGTATGGACATGGTTAGATGTGTAGTACTTCCCTACACGTGGCTCACACACATGCGCATGGGTCCACTGGATGAGCTCATATACGTATCCCTTGGACCTAGCTCATTGGGATAACGCACGCTCACGCTGCTGGACGTCACATAGAGAAAGGGCCTGCATAATATCATGGTGGACATGATACATGTCATATTATTCATGATTAACATACCTGATTTTCTAATATCTCACAGGCATAGAGCGTATGTATTAACATAGTGTACATGGTGTGGTACATGGAGGTTCATGCATCAAATAACAATGATAAGATAACATAGTTCCATGATATAGCATAGTATATATGATTTCATAACATAGCTTGTACGTGGCATAACATATATCATAGCTTAAACATAGCATAATACACGTCATACAATCATTAAAACATGACATGTGTAGAGGCAACATGACACATATCTTTCATACAACAAACAAGTCATCCAATCTAGCCAACAGTAAGCTACTTAGTTGGCCTAAATCGACATCACTAAATTTCTTGAGTTGATATTTGTTTGATTCTACTCGTCGAGGTTTAGATCCAAAGCTAACTTCAAACTCGATTCTTCCACTTTCTTTCTTTCTTTTTTTTTTTCTTCTTTCTTCTTTCCTTCTTTCTTATTCTCCAAATTGACGCTTGCTGGGGATAAAAGAAAGGATGGTATGGAGATTGAGAAGTAAAGAGAGGAGAATGAATTAAAATGATGAAAAATGATGTATTTAGGAGATTGTTTATATGGGAAGGAGAAAAGAAAATGAGGATGTAATCAGATGGAGGAAATGGGGCATAGAATCACACAGGTAATCTTAGTAGCTAGGAAGTACGTTGAGTCGCTCCCCTAATCTAGGGTGACTACATGGTCCAATGGGAGAGTTAGCCATCTAATCTCCCATGGATGACGAACAGGCTAGCACACACTATATTCTTCCCACTAGAGATTTCTTTTGAGGTAGCACCTCAACCTAAGACATCGAACAACTGCTGTATAGGCAAAACTAGTTACGTAAGTTTGTAAATAGCAAGGGTTGTATATATAGAACTCAAAGAGAAGTCTGCGGTAACTTGCTAGATCAAGGATGCAATGAGACCTTACAAGTAGGTTCGTTACTGTAACGATCCTAGATTTTAGCTACATAAAATCTCTACCGTCATCTTGGCCTAAGCTCATGTGAAATATAACTCTTAAAACATCATTAAAACCATAATTTCATAATAAACATAACTTTATCATTGAAAAAACCGTCATGGTCTTACGTGTTTAAAACATAATTCAGAAATGAAACTAAAAATAATAATGAAATTAATTTAAAATGTGAAATACATAACAACCTATTCTAACCTAAGCCTAGGAAATTAAATATGCTACTAGCCTATGTACTTGTCATGCTCTCTGATTGCAATGTCTTCGTCAACCGTACAAGGGCGCCTTGCCTTTACCTAAAAATGACGTATCACACAACCTGAGTATTTTAAAGAATACTCAGTAAGTGATCCAACTATAAGGGCCGTAAAAATGCAAACACATGCAATGAGGCTCTAGGGACCTATCATTAAAACATCATAGGGGTGGCCTCCAGTCCAGACTATATTGGATGTGCAGTACTTCCCTAGCTGTGTGTAGCGACGTCTGGAGGTCAAAAAACCCTTAAGTGTTATGCTCGACATGATCACCATCATCGAAGCGTACGCATCCATACTTATCATCATAAACGGGGAAGTATCTCAATGCTTATATACATACAAAAATACATGAGATCCCTATAGTTTCTCGTCTTTAAAACATCTTTATGACAAAACCCTAGTTCCATCCTTATATTACTATAAGTAATATATGTGCTTTAACTTTCCATCTTATCATCATCTTTAACGTTATCTACGGTCATGTCCTAGGCAAAGTTATCGTAATAATGCAGTATGACATTCACAACATGCTTCTCAACTTAATATGGAAAATAACGTCATATTAAGGAAATAACATCATCTACGTCATCATATCATCATGCATCATCATCATCATACAACGTTATCATAACACATCATAATTATTATAAAATATCATCAGACTTCATTATATAACTCATACACGTCATCTTACATCACATATCATACGTTATACCTCATAATCATAAAGCATAAAGGGCTCGTGCTGGTACCACTAGCATGTGTCGTCATACATCAAGCATTGCATAGCCCTATGATAAGGCCACTTATTTGGTTGGCCTTAGCCAAAGTTCTCCCTGATTTAAATACGTTAGCTCCCGGTCCTCGAAAGCTTCTCCAAGTGTCGCCTGAGATCATTTCCTATTAGGTGGTCTCGTTCCTTTTGTTAGTATTTCACAATTCTAAATTAGCTTGTGAAATAGAGCATCATAGTGACCTTAATTAGGGTCAAAATTGGCTTTGGGAGGGTCGAAATAGTGGAAAGTAGCCTGAAATAAGATTACCGAGCTGAATAGCCAAGAAGCTAAGCCGTAGAGCCGTGCCAAGCTATCTAAGCCGATTGAATCGAAGGATTTGCTCGCTGCAGGTGTGCCATGTGACACAATAGGAGGCCAACACGTGTGCAGGCGACTTTGGGTCAAGGTGCGGGTCATGCGCAGGCGTACTGGTCACGGTCATGGGTCGTGGTTCACGGCTGCTGCAAGTTGCCTGGGATGGCTGTGTGGGTTGTGCCTCGAGTAATTGGGCTTTGGTGTGCGCAGTCAAGTTTCGAGTTGCAAGTGTTGCGGGTCGGATAGGTCACTGAGCGTGTGTTGCACCGAATCAGTGGATTTACAGTGAGTTGTGGGTTTGAGTCCGACTTGGATCTGGATCCGATGAATTCATCTTCTTCCCTCGACTCAGCACAAATTTTCAATTTTCTTCTTTCCTCTCCGCAATTGTTTCTAGCGTTCTTCCTTGTCATTTTCCTCCCTTAACTCTCTATTGGACCCTCTGATTCTCTTCCACGAAGTCTCGTGGCTTGTAGATGTTAAAGATGGTCATACTAGACCTTTTCTCTAGGGCAGTCCACTTCTGTAGGAATGGTAGAACCACTAAATTTAATTAGTGGGGGTTGTTTTTCCTATTTTGAGAGTTGCTAATTTTATGCTTTCTAAAGTGGTTAGTTAGGAGGCTATAAAAGCCAACCAAGTTTATCGGTTTGTCAGCCATTGATTTCAAAGCTTTAGTTTGTGTGTTTACAACATTTGGTATCAGAGCCACATCGCAAGGCCTGATTGTGAGAAGAAGAAACTGCAGTTTTTTTTCTTTAAAGAGTGAGTTGAAAGAGATTCAAAATATAGCAGCTGAAATCAATTTCGTTCAACCGACAATTCCTAAGTTTGATGGTCATTATGATCATTGGTCTATGCTTATGGAAAATTTTCTTTGTTCAAAGGAATATTGGTCTTTGGTGGAGACCGGAATCCCTGCCGCAGCAGAAGGAGTAGAGATTACCAAAACACAACAAAAAAAAAAATTGCAGACCAGAAACTGAAAGACTTGAAGGTCAAGAATTATTTGTTTCAAGCCATTGATCGAACTATTATGGAAACGATCCTTAATAGAGATATTGCAAAACAAATTTGGGACTCTATAAAGCAGAAGTACCAAGGTTCCACATGAGTCGAAAGAGCTCAACTCCAAGCTCTTAGGAAAGAGTTTGAAGTCCTACAGATGAAAGAAGGTGAGAGTGTTGATGCATATTTTGCTCGAACTCTCACCAATGCAAAAAAGATGAAAATTTATGGCGAACACATGAAACAAGTGGTGATTATTAAAAAAATCTTGAGATCAATGACCTTAAGATTTGACTATGTTATATGTTCGATTGAAGAGTCTAATAACTTAGACACTTTAACAATCGATGAATTGCAAAGCAGCTTATTGGTACATGAACAAAGACTGAATGGACGTGTAAGTGATGAACAAGTACTAAAGGTGACATATGATACCAGATTCGGTGGAAGAGGAGTTGATCGAGCTCGTGAAGTTTTTCGAGGAAGAGGTAGAGGAAGAGGAAATGGTAGACATCCATTCAACAAAGCTACCATTGAATGTTATAAGTGTCATCAGTTAGGACACTTTAGATATGAGTGTCCTTAATGGGAAAAGGAAGCAAATTATGCTGAGCTTGAGGATGAAGAAGAAATCTTGTTGATGTCATATGTGGAGCTCAATTAATCAAGGAGAGAAGATGTTTGGTTCCTTTATTCGGGGTGTAGCAACCATATGTGTGCAAACAAGGAATGGTTCTCAGATTTTGACAAGGAATTCCGACAATCTGTGAAGCTTGGAAATAATTTCAAGATGGCGGTGTTGAGAAAAGGTAACATTAGATTGCAAGTTGCTGGAGTCACTCAGGTAATCACTGATGTTTTCTATATACCTGAGTTGAAAAACAATCTCCTAAGTCTTGGACAATTGCAAGAAAGAGGTGTATCTATTTTGATACAACAGGGAGAATGCAAAATCTATCATCCCAAGATGGGGCTTATGCAAACAACGTTTGCAAATAGGATGTTCATATTACTTGCAAGAATCATGCCATAAACCACCACTTGCTTCCAAACAATTATAGAAGACAACACTCATCTTTGGCACCGCAGATATGGGCACCTAGGCTTCAAAGATGTGAGAACATTGCAACATTGCAACATAAGCAAATGGTGAGAGGGTTA